AGCTTAGGCTTGTTACTAAGCTCTTACCTCTTAAACCATATTACTTATCTTCACTCTATCACATGGCAGTACCTTTTTTCTGCATGGTATGTTCATCTGCTGCTTCCTCTACGTCTTTTTTTTTTTTTTTTTTTTTTGGTTTTTCGAGACAGGGTTTCTCTGTGGTTTTGGAGCCTGTCCTGGAACTAGCTCTTGTAGACCAGGCTGGTCTCGAACTCACAGAGATCCGCCTGCCTCTGCCTCCCGAGTGCTGGGATTAAAGGCGTGCGCCACCACCGCCCGGCTTGCTGGTGACTCCTGTTGACCCTGCCCTCCTGTTCCTCCTCCTTCTCTTTTTCCTCCTCCTCCTCCTGCTCCTCCTTCTTCTTCCCAGCATCCTCTTAGTTTGATTCTCTTGCCTAACTTCTTCATGGCTAGTTATTGGCCAGTCAGCTCTTCATTAAACCAGTGAGAGTAATACTTAATCACAGTGTATGATGCGTATTATTTTGCAGCAGGTAGGGGCAACTTCCAGTAGCTTCCAGGGATTACATTTTCTGCTCTTCGAGAACATCATTCAGTGATTTGATAGTGATCAAAGAACATGGGATTGGAAAAACACAAGCTTCTCTCTGGATGTGCACATCTTCATGTCTCTTTGGCCTTTTCTGTGACACAGGACATGTTCTTGAACCTGGGGTTTGTGCTTAAGATGCTGCCCCAGGAATCTAAAAATCAATCACATCAGACACACATCTCTACCACAAAAGGTGCCCACTTTTTCCAGGGGAAGCTCTGTTAGGCATGTCTAATTTTGGATATTGTAACATGACATTGTCATTTACGAAACCTGTGCTTAGGAATCACACAGTTATGTGACAAATATATCATAAAAATCATATTTTAATTAAGCATGTGAATTCGTGTTGGGCCACATCCATGGCTATTTTGGTCACATGTAATTCACAGGGGCAAGTTGGACACACTGATAAGGATTTCCACAGCTGTAAAAGGAGGGTAGTCCTCAGTTGTCGAGTAACAGAAGGTCTTGGAGCTAAGTCAGTGTCTCATAGACTGCAGAAGATCATGAAAAACTGGTTAGTGTCAAGACTGATGATTTTAAAAGCTGCATCTTGGTGAAACAGGACTTGCAATAGAATAGAATCGACACAGGTCTCCAAACCCAACCTTCATACCCACATGCAGGTGAGCATTCAAACAGATTAGGCGTGTTCATGGTTTTATGGTCATAGATATATACCATATATCTTCAGGTATATATTTAGAAATTCATCCATTACCTTTGATGCCTTTGTTCTTATAAAAAAAAGTCACAATTGATACCTAAAGTGAGTGATACACACTAGAAACATCACCATTGTTTGAGAAAGGGTTGGGTCAAACACCACGTAGCAACAAGAGAAGCCTGGATAAGGGTATAGGCATGATGGTATTGTCAATGTATTTTCTGTGACTAGACAGAATACCACAGCTATAACTGATACAGTTAAAATAGATCTGTTTTAGAAGCTGAGAGACTTTGGGTAGTAGGATAGGCAAACATTCATGAGAAGAAAAATCAGGTCTAACTCACACTTGGCCAGCAGGAACCTGCTCCTTGATAATGGCATCAATGCATTGATGCGGAGAGACTTTTCATTCTGCTCACCTCTTCTCACCCTTCCAACCTGATAATGAAATGGCAAGTAACCTTACCATGAGTTTGCAGAGGACACTCAGTCCACAGGAGATGAATAGAGAAGCAGCTGGAGACATTATAGCTTTCTAGCAGGGATGCATGCAGGAACCCACAGATGGCCTTACACAAACAAAATGCCGAACATGAATAATGAACTACAATACTAATCTACTGAAAGTGCAATATCAGTCTGGCACAGCTTGGATGCCCTAGGAAGCATATTCCAAGACAATGCGTGCTAATCGCTTGTCGGTACTTAACAAATTGCCCTTGTTCGGTAGTTTAAAAAAACAGTTTTGGAAACCAGAAATCTAAAATGGATCTGTGGAGTTACATTCCTTCTGATTCTTGGAGAAACTAACAGGCAAATATCAAAGTATTAGAACATTCCATGAAGTCAAGTTCACATTGCATGGGATGGCCATGTGGTGAACATCACACTCACATGAGATGGTTATGTGGTCAAGTTCACATTCACATGGGATGCCCATGTGGCATTAATATTGGATTCTGGTCTAGATAGGTCCTAAACCCAGAAATGAGTGTAATTTACCCTTTATATATAAGATCCAAAACAAGACATAAAATCTAAAAGAGGACACACACACACACACACACACACACACACACACCGCAAGCACATGAAATTATCATTTAGGCTTTTAAAAATATTGTTTCCTGATGGGAAAATGTGTCAAAGTTTGCCTGCTCTCATTTTCAGAATTCCCTTTGCCCAATTCCTAAAGCGTATGGACCATTCCACAAATCTCAGGTTTTTTCAGCCTGAAGTCAAGCGGTTGCACAAACCCATTTCCAAATACAAACTTTTTAGCTAGTTGGAAAAGAAATTCTGAAAATAATTCATTGACTCCCTCAGTATTAAAATATTTTAGACTCAAAAATATATTTTAGACTCTAAGGGATTTTAAAAAAAACAGTCTGATGTGCTTCCATCGTCCATCTTCTAATTTGCGAGTGGAGAGAGTGAGTGGTAGGGAGCTCACACTGTCCCAGGGAGAAGCAGGGCATCGTATGTGCTGTACTGTACTTATCCTCCGTGGATGTTTTCATTGTCCTTCAAGCATTAGTGTGGAGTCTAAGTTATAGAAGAGGAAACAGGGCCGGGAAAGTAGATCGCAAGCCCCGAGGTTGCGGGCACTTTGCAGGGCACTAAACATGAGCCCAGCCTCAGAGCTCTCCATGAGGCCTGTCACATACCTCTGATGCTGGTTGACAGAGAGATGGAAGAAGAAGAAGAAAGCTGTATTGCTTGGCTTGATCCCCACATGAATATGGGAGTTGCTGGTACCAAATTTAAACTCTCTGGAAGTTGGCATCAGCACTGTGTTCATGTAGCTTTTTGTTTGGAATCTTCTCACTGGTACTGTTACTAGAGGTGCCCAATTCTGCTGATTGAATCCTATTCCACTAATGGCATGTATAAAACATTTTCCTCTGCATGGAAAGGAATATAATTTTTCTACCCTTGAGGGACATTTCTATAAAAAAAAAGAAAGGAAGGAAGGAGGGATGGAAAAGAAAAAAGCAGATTAAGGAGAAACAGCAGAATTCTTAACATCTGAACACCAGCAAAAAGCTCAAAGCAGTGGGGTAGGGCTCTGTCTTAGATAGCAGTTGCAACAAAGAACAGTAGCATTTAGAGAGGAGACCAAATGGGAAGGTGATCTTGATTTTGTTTTTTATTGGCAACGATTTAGGGGATGGTAAACACATGGCAGATAAAGACTGGTTAAATAATCCTCCTAATGCTGATGAGGACCTACAGCAGTTAGCTTTTATTGTCTGTGGACTAAAGTTCCGAGAAAAAAAAAAAAGTACATTGGTGTTCAGGAGTGTATAGACCAGCAGACCTTAGAACTTCACAATGGAGAGATGGGGTGTCGCAGATGGATAGCCCAAAGCATCCTTTCTTACCTTTAATCGCCATTTGCCACCAAGTTCTCTCCTGACCCATGTTTATTCTACTAGGTAAGACATTAGGAGTGATACAACTGAAAGCTTCTGCCCACCCAACTCTAGGAAGGTCGTCACACAGCATCTGAAACCCATGGAAGAGATTGCTCTACTTTGTCGTAATCTACCAATCTGACAATCCAAATTAAATTATGACTTTATTTTATTCTGTGATTATAAATGTTCAACTAACCTGTTTCGCAGTGGAACATGTCATTCAGGGCAACTTGAATATATCCCCCAAAACTATGGTCATTCATATTTGGCTCAGAGTAAATTCACTTCCTGTAGACTTTCCCTAGGCAGACACCAGCAAATGAATGCCCTTTCTCTCCAGATAGGGTGACAAGGACAGACCCCAAAGAAATGATTCCCCCGAAGTCTAGATGTGTGAATCAATGAATTTGATTGGGGTTACTTAGAGACACATGGGTGAGGGATGACCAACAGGAACACACAGAAGACAACAGCACTGAAGAAGTTGCCGTCCCCAACACTCCTCAGACCTCTTGGCCCCAGCAACCTTTCCTTGCATCTACAGCAGGTGAAGAGGTGGGCCAGTAGGGATCAAATGTGAATGTGTTCATGTGTCCGATCTTATGATGAACTTGGTGAGTAATCACAGCTGTTCCCATTTCAAGACACCAATAGCCATGTCATGCCCTCGAAACAGACTTCCACAACGTCTTTTTATATCAACGTCTGTATTGTTTTGTTGACATATCCTTGATAGTCAGAGATGGAAAGATACAAAGTCTTGTAACTAACTAACTAACAACTAACTGCCTGGGTCTTAAGCACACCGAAGGAAAGCAGGAAGCTCGCCTGCATCTGTCCCTCATCTGCAGCGCAGCTCAGTTTCAGGCTATATTTTGAACAGACACATTTTCTGGTGCCCCTACACCACCATGGCCTCTTTTGCCTCATGTCTCTCTTTCTACCTCTCTCTGCCTTCCTCACACTGGCCTAGTGCGTCTCGGATTTTGTGCTTGCTTCTCCTGTGCCCTGCTCTATCTTCTGTGCTTTCTGACCTGATCCTCTTCTTCCTGATTTCGGGGATCCCAAACTTCAGCTGTTTAGTTTAACTCAGCCCCTCCTTGCCACAGTTCCTATCAACCAGTGTGTTTTTGATTTCATTTACCACTATCTAAAATTCTTACTCCTTTAATGACTTTATGATTTAGTTTCAAATCGTAAAACTGTTCGTATTATATATTGTGAACTTTCCAGAAGAGATGGACAGGTGGATGGATGAGAGATTGAAAGAATGAGCAAGTGGGAGAACAGGAAGAGAGGGCAGTGACCACTCAGGACCACTGGAGGGCTGCGCCCCACCCGGCCGGCACAGCCCACCTGTCGGAACCGGAGGACGGTGGTCGCGGTTTCCCTCTGGAGGGAGGAAGAGTTTCGCGAGAGCACACGGAAAAGGCCGGGCGCCAAGCAACGGCAGCGGTGAGTTCGGGGAGCGAGTGCGGGCCGCTGGGTGTGTGTGACCCGTGTGTGGGGTGCAGTCACGGGTGGCTGGGTTGAGCGGGGCGTCCCGGGAACCCGCCTGGCGCCCGGGGATCTGCCGCGCAGTTGCTGGCTGCGGCGCGGTGGGAGAAGGGGGCTGGGCCGTGCCGGTGTGGTGCGCGCGCCTCTGGTCCCTGTGGGTCAGGTGTGCTGGTTCGAGTCCCAGAGCTGTCCCTAATCTGTGGCCCCCTCAGTCACCACCCCCTTGGGCAGTGGGGTCCCCCGGAACAGAAACGGAACCAGTAGTATTTGATGGGCAGGTCTGTTCATTCATTCCGTTTTCTAGGTTCTGCTGATGGAGATGGCTAGAACCCCCCAAGGAGCGCTGCTTTAGTGAGAAAATCCTCACCTTCCCGGTCAGGAGAGGGGCCTCAGTTAGAATTTGGGAGCTTATGCGGTTGGGGACAACCCGCTTTAAAGGGAAATATATGCTGATTTAAACATGGAATTGAGAGTTTTTAACTGACGCTAATGAGAATGAACATTCTGGCTGCTGAGAAGGGAATATACACTGTTAATGTCGTACATATTTGTGAAGACAGCTTAGATACGGAAACATGTACAGATTTTGTCACAACCCCATCACAGCTGATCTTCACAGCCAAATTAAGTAATCAGGGCAGACGGTGTTTCTTCGTTTTGCTAGTGAAGAAGTTAATTGACTTACCCAGGGTCCAACTACCTGTGAGTGACAAAGCTGGGATTTAGTTCAGGCAGCTGGACCAGTCCTCTTTGCACACTAGGCTGCCTGCGTATTCCCCGTCCTTCAGTGACAGATGAATCATTTATGACAAAAAAGGGAGTTGCTGGGGAAGGGGTGGCTTGTAAAGACCGTCCTCTCAGAGTGCCCTCGACTGACATCTTCCCATGCTACCCTCCACTTGGATGGCCTTAGCAACCCGCATACTTTGCTTTCACAGACGTGAATTCCAGTTCTGTAGCTTGTGTCCAATCTCTCCTGTTTCCAAACAGCCAAGTCCAGACATCTGTGTGGGTTCCCTTGAAAGTGCCCGACAGGTGTAACAGTCTAGAGACTCCTTAGCCGCACATTGTTTTCCCACAAACCTGCAATATCAATCAAAGGCTTGAAATCTCATTCTGGTCCATTGCCTAAGCACAAACCCTGGCTTATTTCCTCATCTCTCACCTCCTGCAATCAGTTGGTCACCAAGTGCTGCCAGACCGCGACCTCCCTTGAGACAAGAGGGCTCTTGTTCCTCCCTTTAGTTGACCAGACATTATGGCAGCCTCTCCCCGCAGCCCTCCCTCCACTTCAGCTTTACCTTTCAGGTTCTCACAGTCTTTTTATTCTGCAGCTCAGATATGATTATGTCCTTTATCTGCTAAAAATCTCAAGTTTTTTTTCTTTCTGTTGTCTTCAGCATAATGTCCAAAGCCCTTAGTGTGGACTCAGTCTTTTCATATCTTCCCTCCACTCCCATCTTTTATCTTTAAACTATTGTTTTTCGAAGTCTAGTGTGTTTATCACCTACATTAAATTATGATAGTAATTGCTAACGAACTAAATATGAGATCTACTACCTTCCCGTTTTTAACACACACACACACACACACACACACACACACAAATATATTTATGGCCTTTGTATACTTTGCTCAGGTAGCTATAACTGGGGTGGCTTAAATAACAAAAGTTTATTTCTCACAATGTGCAAAGTGGAACTATGAATCCAAGATGGTTGCACTGGTGTGGTACACTCTTCTTAGTTTGCAGGTGGCTGTCTTGTGGCTGTGTCTTCAGAGGGAGGGTTGTGGATGGGATGTGACATCTGGCTGGTGTCTCTTCTTAGAGAGGTGCTAATCCTATTATGAGGGCAACACCCTTATTGCCCCATTATTTCTACATCCTAATGCCATTTCACTTGGAATTAGGAGATTCACTTAGAAGTTCAGAGACACAGATTCTCAGGCCTTAGCGTCTTCCTAACTCTTTCCCTCTGACTCCTGATCCGTAGGGCTCTGTCTGGCCCTGCAGGTCCATCCCACTTAGGCCCGTGTTTGTGGACTCCTGATCCGTAGGGCTCTGTCTGGCCCTGCAGGTCCATCCCACTTAGGCCAGTGTTTGTGGACTTCTGTCCTCATCTCCCAACCTTTATCTTACTGTGTTGCAACTTAGCTCATGTGGTTGTACTGCACTTAGGGATTTAACAATTATGAGCATTTGAGAGTGGGACTTAACCCTTCCTTTCCCTTGCACTCAACACAGAGCAGGTGTTTTCTACTAAAGGCCTTGTGAATGATTACATGGTCCTTTGGGACTTTGTGTGCACTAGCCTGGATTGCTTCATTGATGTTTGCGGTGTGGATGTTTCTTCCTAGGGGAGGGATTTTAACCAAGGGAGAAAATATTTAAAGGGAGGAATATTTTCCATCTGTTTAGATAATAATTTATTTTAGAAAAGTTAGCATTGCATGTACGTTGCAATTTTAAGATGTCATTTACCCTCCTACAACTTAGAGGAAATTTTGTAAAATGTCTTCTTTTGTTTATTGGGATTTTGATTGATGGTCCTGTTTGAACATAATTGGGATAACGCTGGTTATAGATTATCTTTTACCGTGCTATGTTTACTTACTTTGTATTTTGAGTTGCTTTTTTGTACATTTCTGAAAATTCTCCATTTAAAAAGCTGAATTGTTATATGACTCACTCACTTGATAGATGTTTCTAGAATACCCATCCTGTGCCAGATCTTACTTGGTGTGGAGGTTCTAGCAGTACCCAAAGCCCTACATTCTCAGGGTTTACTTTACTGGATAAGCTAGGTAACATATTGATAAATATAAATATCATCAAATGATGCCATATAAAAACAGAATAAATATATTGAGCCATTTTGTTTTTCCGTATAGAGCTAATTTACCTTCCTTACAGGAGTAGGCAAGAGTATCTTTCTTGCCCTGTGGTAAGTCCTAGGTCCTCCCCTCTCCGTCCATTTCTAGGAAGGTGAACATCCAAACTGGCTAGGCTCCCACAAAGCCAGCACGTTACGTAGGTTCAAAACCCCGTGCCATTGTCCTTGGCTTCTCATCAGCCCTCATTGTTCGCCATGTTCAGAGAGTCCAGTTTTATCCCATGCTTTTTCAGTCACAGTCCAGCTGGCCTTGGTGAGCTCCCAATAGATCAGCTCCACTGTCTCAGTGGGTGGGTGCACCCCTCGTGGTCCCGACTTCTTGAACCCTGACTGCTCTTTGGACTGGAGAGGGAGAGGGAGAGGAGTGGGGGGAGGGGGAGAAGGGTGGGAGGAGGGGAAGAAGGGTGGGAGGAGGGGGAGGGAAATGGGAGGCTGGGAGGAGGTGGAAACTTGTTTTTTTTTTTCTCCTTTTCTCAATAAAAAAATGGAAAAAAAACAGAAGTGGGAATGGAGATGGTTTGGAAATAAAGAAGAAATAGAGTTGGAAAAAAAAGAGTATCTTTCTTGTTGTATTTTGTCATCGGTGAAATCAGTGAATGATAATTTAAAACTGAATTTTATAGGGGAATAATAATTGCTCTATGTAATTTACATGTCTTTGATTAGTAAGATGAGCATAAAAAACTTAGCCACGTGCATTGAGCTTTGTATGCATGTTCTGTGCTCATTTTCATATTAAAGACCTGGTGTTTTCTTCTGTTTTGAATAAGCTGTTGCTGGTATTTTGAATTCCTCATATGTGATGGGCAAATACTCAATAGTGGTGTAGTGGAACAGTGAAGACAGACATCAGAGGAAGCCTGGAAATCTTCTCCACTTACCTCCCTCCTCCTTCCTTCTGATATGGATAGGGAAAGGTGATTGGATAAGGAAGGAGGAGAGTGGAGATAGAAATACGTGAATAAAGAAGGAAGTGAAGATTGTGAGTGGATGAGAGATGTTGATGATGTTACTAGATGGGGAAAGAGGAGAAGAACCACAGCAGAAGTGGATAAGAGAAAACAAAAGGAAAAGGGGAGGGGAGACCATAGAGGAATGACTAATAGGATGCTCCATGCTTATCTTGCGTAATTTGTTTTCCTTTCCCTGCCTACCAAATCTGTAGAAGATGACTGCAAGTAGTAAATTGAAATTGTAACTCATTTATCTCCTTGGGATTATTGCCCAGGTTTTCTTACTGTGATCTCTGTCTGTCTGTATCTGTCACCCCTGTCTGCTGGGTACTCATTGGCTCTGCTTTCTCCATGCCCTGTGACTATCTTCATCTATTTCATTAGACTGGGTTAATTTAAATGAGATCCCAGCTTGGCACCCTTTGTGTATGAATAAGGAATTCAGTGTATCATGTGTTATATCAGCCTTCAGACATGGCAGGAGAAGAAAGTGCCAAATTTTCTATTCTGGCTTTGTATGGTAAGTTTACATAAGCAGGGGTTTTTTTTTTTGTATAAAAATCATAAAATCTTAAGAAATTAACCTAATTGTAGTCTTATAATTATGTAACCAAGTGCTACTTGTATGTATACCAACACAGAAATCCAGATATATTCCATATTGCTTTGCTGACCAGGGAAGAGGTAGAAATTGTATTGGAAAAGAGATCCACACTTGATACTCTAATGAATATTCAGTTTACTGCTGACAAAAAACTTGACACTGTAGTGTGTGGTCTGATAATCTGCAGCGGAGTGGTTCTTTCCTTGCAAGTACTCTCAGAGCTAGGCACCAAGCTCTGTTAGCTAGTATCCGCACAGCTTAGCATCTGTGAGGTAAGGAAAGAGTTAGCAGGCCTTTCTTCCAGTTTCTAACCTGGGCCTCAGGGGAGTCTGTACAGACTGCAGGGCCTCTAAGCACACTGATGCTGGCTCACTGGGGGTGCCCCGTCCCCACCAGGTGAAGATCTGAAGAGCTCACTGTGTCTTCAGAGGTCCTCTGATACTCCCTGAAGTCTTCATTGTTTTAAAAGACCCTTTGGTTCTCCAGCATGAAGAGGCCTCACTCTGA